GTGTGCGATATCGCTACCTAGTCATGACGGACACCCTTGGCTACGGGCTCGAGAAGAGGCGCCAGGGGAACCTCGAGATCCTTGCTGGCAGGGAGACGTTCAGGTGAGTGTCGCCCGCCGTCGGCTGCCGTTCTGCATCTGACTGTCGTGTGTTAGGGATGAGTTCCGGCGCATGCTACAGAGCGTATCCGCCAATGGGCATACCTTCGAGGAGTGCAAAGAGGTCCTGAAGAAGAGTGCGCCTCTGTCCGCTTTAGTCTCCCGCAGATGGCCGTGTTAACCATAATTAAAATCAGATATTTGGCTGGACCCTGGCTTCAAAGATTTCTACGCGTACTGCAAAGAACACGACATCCCGGTTGTCATCATCTCCAGGTACGCCTCCGGCCTGTGATGTCCCGCCCCGGGTGCCCGCTGAACGCCGATTTCATACACGTGCAGCGGCATGGCACCGTTGATCCGCGCCGTACTCTCGAACCTCATTGGCGACGAGGAGAGCGCGAAGATCGAGATCGTTGCAAACGACGCGATCGTGCAGCCTGATGGCAGCTGGGAGATCACGTACCGGCACCCGTCGAGCGGGTTCGGGCACGACAAGAGCCAGGCGATCCTGCCGTACCGCGCGCTGCCGCATCCGCCGACAACCTTCTTTTTTGGCGATGGCGTCTCAGGTGCGTGCTTTTTTCTTTGCGCCTTCGCTCGGTCGCGCCCTCGGTGTTTACGTGAAACTGCAGACATGTCCGCGGCGCGCCACGCCGACGTGTTGTTTGTGAAGAAGAAGCCTGGTGCGGACAACGACCTCGCGGCGTACTGCACGCGCGAAGGCATTCCGCACATCCTCTTCGAAGACTTCCATCGCGCGCTGGGTGTTGTCAGCCAGGTGGTGGAGGGCAGGCTGAGTGTGCAGGACGCGCTGGCTTTGGGAACGGCGTAGCGGCACAATGGTCTCGGCCCCGAGCACGCGTGCCGTGTCGGTTCGTATCCATTTGTAAACACGCTCACAGGAATCCCATAAGGAATAAACCTTCCAAAAATGCCGTGTTGGTCAATGTGACAGAATTCGGTGTTCATCGCGCTCGGAGAGAAATAGCTCATCCATGGGATTACGGATGGCGGACGCAAAGTTTCTTAATCGCCATAGAGACGAGATCGGAAGGCTTGGCATCTAGAATGGACATAACTCGCTGTCCTTGTACGCCGGGGACGGACGCGAGAGGGCCCATAACCAGACTTCGATGTGACAGGGTGTGCTCAAGCGCAGACTGCGCTGCATCCGACGGCCAGTCTCGTCGAGCAGTTTCGCGCAAGGGCTCAGAAGGGGTCGATTTTGCTTACCGCAGTGGGACGCCTGTCCTGGAGGGCGTGCCTGAACGCGATGGGATCGTGCGAACCGATATGATAGGTCCTTGTGGTGACCATCGCTGTCAGAGCGCCCAGAAGCGTTCCTGCCTCGGAGAAGAACAGGTACCAGCACGATACGAAGAGTCCCATCGGTAAATGACAAAGTTCGTTCGCCACGCTGGATGCTCATATAAAGCCAGGTCTGCGCCCATCATGTTCTCCGCAATTTTCTCTCTTCTTTCTCTCTCTCTCTCTCCCCTCCCCCCTCCTCCCTCCCCCGGGTTTTGGCCCGCCGTAGCTGGTGTTCACCAGTCTCTCACTGTCTTTCCTTGGATCCGGCCACTGTCTTTCCCTCGAGAATCCATCGCACAATCCTTACAACATGACTCTGAGAACGATCTCAACCGCGCTTGCGCTCGCCGGGCTCTCCGCGGTCCCACTGGCCAGTGCGAGCAGCCACATGATCATGGGAGGCCTTAAACCCATCGCATACGAACGAATCGATCCCATCGTCAACGCCGGCATGGTAAATAGTTTCCTCGTACCTTTATAATTTTTTTCTCACTTATGAGGATCACAGGTCAGCAGCCACTTGCACGCCTTCATGGGCGCAAGCAACGTCGACCAGAATGCCAACTACGACCAGAACAGGAATGCTCAGTGCACATCTGTCCCGTTCCAGGACGTCGACAAGTCGTCCTACTGGGCTGTTAGTCGCTCGTCTCCCTTTGGCATGGACAATGCTCTGACGTTCCGTTCACTAGCCGCCGATGCTGTACCAGGACCAAACGACGAAGACGTTCACAGTCATGGAGCCTGTGTTCAACATTTACTACTTTTTTGACCGCAATGGTACTGGCGAGACGGTGCAGGCGTTCCCGCAAGGCTTGAGGGTGAGCCGGACTTTTTTTTGCGTTTCAGTGGCAATTTCCATGCTTTGGTTGCGCCGTTTTGAGAGCTGGAGAATTCTCGCGGGAGACTTGATGAAGATGCAGCGGACCGGTTTCCATGTATCATGAACGGCGCCGGTCATCTTGACGTGTCTTCGCACGCTGTCTCCCAGTATCTTCCCAGTTGCGACACACTTTGTCCGCTTTGAGCCGCTGGGTCTGCGGCTCGATGGCATGTTGTCATCTCAGAGATAATCATGAAACGTTTTGAGCTTGATATTGACATGCTGATTTCAGATGGTCGCTGGAAGCCCTACACGCGACACCTACAACGCCTCAAACTTCGCTGACCAGGCAATCAGCTTCGTCTGCCTCGACTACAGCGGAACTGTCTCCAACAACCCCGCTTACGCTCAGCGCCAGGACATCAACTTCCCCGACATCAACATGTGTCAGGACGGCATCCGCCTCCAGGTCTTCTTCCCCCAGTGCTGGGATGGCGTCAACCTCGACAGCTCCGACCACAAGTCACACATGGCCTATCCCGTCGACACCTACGACGGTGGCCACTGTCCCGAGTCGCACCCAGTCCACACCGTCGCGATATTCTACGAGCAGATTGTGCCGGTCAGCAACTTCAACTACTGGGGCCAGGGAGCCTACGCCCTGTCCACCGGCGACCCGACTGGTCTGACGTACCACGCGGACTTCCTGATGGGATGGAATCAGTCTGTGCTGCAGGACTCGGTCGACAACTGCCACAACATGAAC